AAAGTACATGGAACTAATTTCATTTTAGTTATTGTTAAGCTGTGGTGAAAAAGAAAGATGAAATAATCACAGAAACTTGCTCTAGATGGCTGAATTGTACATTCCCTACATTAACGACGTCAACTCTTTCCTGTGTGGTATACAGACATTTGGCAGCATCAGGGGTGGACGGTTGAGCAGTGTTCACACTTCAGTGCACTCTGCGGCATTATCACATTTCAAAGCCTCAAGGCATTATCACTTCCTTTTTTTAAGTGGCATAATAATTTGGGAAAATGGTTATGCTTATCATCATCTGTCAGTCAAACAACTCCTGTGTTAACAAAATATATTTTTTCCATTTGATGAATGGGTGTGTGTGTAATGTTTTATGCTCACGTCAATATTAGTAGGACTGGTTTTGTGATGAAACTATTTCACTTATCAGAGGGCATGACTGGGAAATATGAAAATTCTGTTTACACTTTAATGAGTAGAGGCTGTACTTCAAGTCAAAGGCATGTAACCAGCTATAATTTAAGAGTCAAGTTCATAGGAGTAAATAGTATATGTAAAGAAGTAAAACACTAGCACAGATCATGTCTTAAGATAAATTTCACCACAAGGTCACATCTTCATAAGGAGTATCTGTATAAATTAGGGGAAGCAAATCTCTACACTCACTGTTGCTTAGTACTGAAAAGCTAGGCCAATGACAGATGGTTTCACTTGTTCTCCCTCCTGTCAAACAATAAACACAGCCAATAGCCTGTACATACAACAAATAAAACTTGAGCCTGTGGCCTCTAACTAAATGAGAAGTATAATAAACCTTACCAATAAGGAAATTTCTTGCTTTTGTGGTCTTCAGCTATTCAGTTAAGTGAACCAAAGAAGGAGTAAGGATATTGTAAACAGAAAATACTTTAGTCTAAATAAATATACATCTAAAGTTTCAATAAACACTTCAAACTTACAAAATTCATGGGAGAGGACTATTTAAGAAAATGAATATAAAATCAGGGGCAATGTATGCAAGATGTCCCTGAAAATCGAGGGGCATGAAAGCTTAAGCTTTGTTACTTTTATGGCAAATTTATCCCTGACTTCAGTTAATGTCCACATATAATAATTGTATAGAACTAATAAGTGTTATGCTACCTTTTGTTTTTTTCTCCTCATGAACAATGAACATTCCTTGAAAGTTAAGACTATTCAATAAAGTTCTCTTAGTACCTTGCAAAGCTCCTTTTATGCAGTAGCTATGCGTGTATAAATCTGTAATTTATTTGCTGTTCTCGTCATTAAGAAAATCATAAAGAAACTCTCAGATACATTGTATTTGCTACTTTATGATTGTTTACTGAGCACCAACTGGCCCCCCTTCCACTGAGAACAAGAGTCCTAATTTCTTCTTTTGGACTATTCTACCATTCTTAGATAGGTATCATATATGATCCTGGCTCTCCCTCTAGTTCTAGGCATGGAAAATGACTGTCTGGTTCCATCTCCAATATATCTTATCCCTTTTAAGCAGCACTGATGGATAATGAGACATTTTCTGTGACAGAAAAGAGGAGATTTTGCCTTCCGTGGGAGCTACCTGGCAAGATTCTCTCCTTCCCTTTGGACAGTATCATCTGAAGTCTGGACGTGCTGCTCCCCTTTTGCCGCTACAGGCATCGGCCAGCTCGCAGCTGCTAGAGGCTGTCCGGTGGGAGGTGAGTATGATGCCCACAGCAGCTAACGGCAGGACAGAGCAATGGAAAGAACAAGTTTCCTTGGTGGTATCATCCGAACTACCGAGCAAATCTTGCTGAAAACCAAACCTTCGTCTGAATTTTTCAGTTATAGAACCAATAACATTGAAATATTGTGCAAGCTAATTTGAGTTGGGTTTTTGGAAACTTTCAACAGTTTCCTAATTGATAACAACACAGAACTTCATGAAGCCAGTACAATGTTGTGGTGTAAACAAAGAAGAGAAATATTAGACTTTTGTAGGATTACATATTTCACAGCTTCTTAATTTTTTACACAGTAAAGAATTTAAAAATTATTTGGGGTACTACATCTTTACTGACAAAAATTCTGGAATTATTCATTGCTAGGAATTATTACTTGGATCAGGGCTCCCAAACTTTGTTTAGAAACATCTACTTCTGTAGGTAATGATCTCTTGGAATATTCCTGCTTAAGGTTATTATTAAAGTATTTCTATTTTTCCTTGGACTTCAAAAAGGTAACGAAGTCTCCATTAAAAGCATCATTTGTACTACTGCTTATAAGAATTTCACGCACTACGTAGTGGGCATCTCTCCAATGCAATAATAATGCGCTATAGTTTTTCAATTACATTGTTAGACTTCAAATGTCATTTTCCTATTAGGCATAAAATAAGATATATTTTCATACATTAAAATATTGTTTGTTAATGATTTTCATACAGGATAGTCTTAGGTTTCTAGCCCATTTGTAAGAAGTTCCTATTAAGAAATTCAGTGAAGCATGGGAACAATGCACGAGTAATTTATTAACATATCAAGAGGCTTTAATTTGCTAACATTTTCCTATCATGCTAGTGTGACAGAATATAAAGAACAAATTGCTAAAGCATGGGATAGAGTAGAATTGGAAGAAAAAGCTATCTATCTTTTCAGAGCTCATGGGTTCAGCTGCTTACAGCATGAAGGACTCCATGCTTGCAAAAATACAGTTGGTATTCACTTTGCCTAATTAGGCTCCGTCTTTTTACCTCTATTATTTATTTAGCACTATATAAAATTAGAAGAACACATGTGAGGCACAGAAGGAAAAGCTCTGTCAGAGGAAGTACATGATCAGCTTAAAAATCTTGAAGAATGTTTGTATCTTCCAGTTACTTTAGAAATAGTGACTTCCTCATTTAATTTATCTCATTTTTCCTACATGGATAAACTAAAAATCTGTGATTACCAGCAAATATTTTACCAGATGCCTTCCATAATCAATATTAATCATAGTGAGTGCCACATTTTCTTCAGTTGAGTTAGTAGTGTTTTAAGAACATTTGAGTCCAAACCCCTCAGAGTAGCTGAGCATGCATCTCTAGTTTGGTATAGTCCCTGCTGTAAATGCTGGTCTCATAGATGCTGAAAACCAAACCTTCCTCTGAATTTTTCAGTATAGAACCAGTAACACCGAAATATTGTGTAAGCTAACAATCTCTGTCAGCTATGTGAGCTTTTATTTGCAAGCATATTAGAATTCAATTGCTATTTTCTTTTCTTTCTTTCTTTCTTCTTTTTTTTTTTTTTTTTTTTTTTTTTTTTACCAGCTCGATGACTCTCACTAAAATAATGGCTAACTGATCTCTTAGGTTCCTTTAGAGCAGCGGTTCTCAACCTGTGGGTCACAACCCACAGGAACTGAATTAAAGGGTTGCGGCATCAGGAAGGTTGAGAACCACTGCTTTATAGTCTATAACTAAAGTTAGCACGAGCTACAACTAAGACTTATTTTATTTTATTTGAGACGGAGTCTTGCTCTGTTGCCTTAGTCTCCTGAGTAGCTGAGACTACAGGCATGTTCCACTATACCTGGCTTGCAGCTAGATTTGATAAGGGAGTTACATAAAATAAAAGAACCAGAGAGTGAATGACACATAAGAATATGGAAAATTTAGTAAATAGGCTTTACAAACAGGCTAATGAACATTCCATGTGTAACAATGGTAGCTAATATTCATGAGGGGCTTCTATGTGCCAAGTACTATGTTACATTCTATACATGGGCATGTCATTTGATCCTTCCAATTTGTATGAGATGGGATACTATTATTCTCATATTACAAATGGTAGTTAAGTAGTGCAATACAGAACTTCAACTTGGGTGGGTCTAGCTTTGAAAGGCAAAAACAAAGGTAGGAGAAGGCATGCCGAGTTAAAAACTATCTGTGGGATTAATTTTAAATTGGTTTCAATGACGTTTCCCTAATTTGCAGGGCTTATACGACCCTTGGCTATAAGCCCTTTGAGCTGGCCTTCCCTAAACCAAATGTATACACAGACACCTTTTAGCCCTCTGTAGACTGCTAACCCAGACAATCACATTTGATAGAAAAGAGGGATAAATTCAACGTGGATAAGCTTAGGCTTTACTGTGGCTAAAGTATGTAACTTCAGGGCGGGGCTCCCACGTAAGCTTAGGCTACAGAGAGCAGCTTTTAAAATTTAGTTCCTAGTTCTCTACTGAATTTCAAACTTAAGTTTTCTCTGGACAAATGAAGTGAACTAATAAAAAATCTGTTTGTTATTTATTATCCCCATTATGTATCATTTTCTTGCCAATTTTGGGGCCATATCTTCTATCTAAACAAATCATTGACAAATTTAATGACTTTCTTCTCAGCATTATGCCTCCCTATAGGGTATGTGTATTTTCTGATCAAGATTAATATGTGTTTTTTCAGTGTTTAGTAAAAAAAGAAAATAAATGATAATATGCCTTACAACTGAGAATACATCACAGAAACAATCTGCCATCACATTTTGTAGTAATTTCATCGTTTTTTGACTTGAGAACCTAAGATACCTAAGCAACCTCTCCCAATATCTGTTCCTTGTCACATACCTATTTCATTTTGCCTATGCTAGTACTAATTTATCTTCTTGTAGTTAGTTAGTTCCTGTGCTAAGAATCGATGAGATTAAACACTGGCTACGAAAGGAGAAGACAAGCAAGTTTATTCTCTTACAAATATTAATTGGATATATAGTGGAACCTCTGTCAGGTGACCATCCAAGGGACTGTAACAAACTGGTCAACACACAGAGGTGGTCACCATAAGGAACTAGACCTCCTGTACTGATGGGCACATGTGGTACATGTCTGGTCTACAAAAATTAGGTCAACTTAAGGAGGCGGTCAGCGTAGGGAGGTGGTCAACTGTGGAGGTTCTATACATATACACATTCTGACGGAAATGCTTTTAGACTATAGCCTTATGAAGAAAACTGACTTCTTTGCATTTGAAAAGTTACCTTTGATAGATCCCTGAAGTTTCCTGGAAGAGTCAGGTCCAATTCTTCTGATTCATAGTTTGTTAATACCCATGGGAACACGGGATATTGATTCAGATCATTATATGTCCGTCCTAGTAAAGAAAAATGAAAATGAAATTTATACACACTAATCTCTTATGAAGCAGTTTCTGTTTTTATAAGGTAATTATTGAATTCCTGAAGAAAAGTAACTCTTGTTTATTGAACCATATCTTTGTTTAATCAAAAGTACTCTAATAACAACGTGTTTCAAATGAATTTACGCAGTAATTTCTTTAAAAGTAACTAGACTGATATGTAAAACTGTGATAGAGACGCCTGGCTGGTTGTTATAAATGATTGTTTTCTTCCTTGGCTGGGGGGAACCTCTTAGCCTCCCTTACGTGTAGCTATGGCCCTGGGACTTAGTTCTAATCAGAATATGAGTAGAGGCACTTTGAGGCTTGGTGCACTGGAACTTCCCACATGTTTATCCTATGCTCAGTCTCTCTTCTGCTGGTGGAGAGAATATCATAACCTTGGAGGTGGAGCCTTTTAAGCCAGAGCCCCCAAAAGTGATCATGGAGGAAGTCACCCTGCTGATCCGTACACTTGCACCCTGCAATATCATCTTCCCGGGCTCAAGCAATCCTCCTGCCTCAGTTCCTCAAGTTGCTGGGACTTAACAGATATGTGGCATCATGCCCAGCTAATTTATTATTATTATCATTATTTGTAGAGCCAGGGCTTTGTTATGTTACCTAGGCTAGTCTTGAACTACTAGCCTCAAGCCATCTTCCCGCCTTGGCCTCTCAAAGTGCTGAGATTACAGACGTGAGCCATCATGCCCAACCTCTACTCTTTTAAGTTCATTCATTTTCTTTTTATGTTGTTGTTTTACTTTAGTGGAGACCTGGTGGAATTTAGGTTGTGTTTGCCTGTTTGTCTTTGGTAGAACGACTTAAACATTTCAGATAAGGATGTTGAGACACAATGGCAGAGTGGAAAGTGTAGGGGGACAGCGCTGGTTCCTTCTCATAACCTGGTACTGAAGTAACATGTGAGCAGATGAAATTCACAGAACAACTGTTAAAGAAACAGGGCCCAAAGAAAACTTTCACTGGACAAGATTACTTTTGGTAAAAAAAACCAAACCAAACAAAACAAAACTATGAACTTTCTAAATTTCCATCCAATTTCACACAAAATAGCTATTGCACATTGCACTGGTAATTAGTAATATGGATTTCATCCAGTGTGGTTTGATGTACACACCATATATACCATAAGAATAACACAGATATGCAGACACTATCTTCTTTGTCAGCAATAAATGACATTAAATGATACCTATTCTTGTAGCAATTGGTAAATATGACTGTAAAGTAGAAAAAACAAACCATAATCTGAGTCAGAACTAAAATCCATTATTATAAGCATCAAACCAGAGTAATTCATTTAGCAAACTTTTTATTGGGTGACTATTTCATCTGTTTGTTATATGAAGCTTTGCCTTTTACAACTAAACCACATATTGTTTTAAATGCATAAGCTGACACAGGCACGTAATTGCTAGAACGTGGACTCACTGGGACAAGGATAGCATTCCACAGGGCTTCCCTGCACTCCCACCACAGCTCGCAGACGGCCTCTATCATACCCAACACATGCCACTCTCTCCTCCTCTGCCTTCCCCGTCTGTAAACTCAGAAATGGAGGGGCTGGCTTGTTTTTTTAATCTATGTATGTTGGGACATACAAATACAAATATCTCCACATAAAGTCTTGCAACATGGACAGTCAATGTATATTTTTAATTTCAATTAAAAACATACAATGTATTTAATGTCCCATGGAAAAAACAAACGTTTGTTGATGGAATTAACATGCACATGAAAAATGGAAGATGAGCCAAATTTTAAAAGATGAACAAACATAAGTCAAGAATGAAAACTGCACAACATTCTCTGTAGATGAGAATTAAACAAAGGAAGAGAAGCACATGAGGGAGAGGAGAATGGCTTTGTGAATGTGAGAGTGCCCACAGCTGGGGAGCTCAGACAATCAATGAACTTGCTTTGTGCTTGTAAGTCTATCATGAAGGATAATACTGATGAGAAGAAACAACAATTTAGAGACTTTCACAAAGTCTCTTGTACATGAAAATAGTCTGTCAAAGCAGTAATATTATTGTAAAATACCGTCTATAAAATTCTAAACTTTAAAATTTATTATTGATTGGTAGTTCATATAAATGCTAATATAGGACACCTGATCTCTTTCAGTACTTGGCCAGGCAGAGCTATTTCTGGAATCCTAAGTGGGTCCATGGCAAGTTTAGTGTTCTGCCATATTCTGGGGAACTGTTCTACTTTAAAATTCTGTATACTTTAATGAAAAGTAGGTCTTCCAGTATGTATGTCTTTTTATAGAATAATGCTTATGCTATAGATACATCTGTATGTTAAACATATATTACTTATATAAATTAATTGATAGATGAAAATTAGATACTACAGTTGTTAAAAAATTTCTGATGTAGTTTTATAACTTGTATACTAAGGAAAAACTGTCAAAAGAAAAATAAAAAGCCAGTCTACATTAACTCAGTATTTAAATGTACTGTAGAACTGAAAACTGCAGGAAGAATAGAAACCATATTTGAAGACATTAGTCTTTTAATAGAAATGATTTTCTAATAAAGGAAAATATATAGTGTTATTTTTGGAAAAATACAAAGAAAAAAGCATCATTTTGAAACTTATACACACATACACACAAAATGACTGACGTTGACAGTCACAGCTCATGGCTATTTATCTGTCTACATTTTTTGTAATTCACTTTTAATAATCTTTGTGGAGTTCTTTGAAAATAAATGCTAAGAAAAATTTAGTAATTTTTAAAATACGAGAACTTTACAGTACTATTTTAATTTTAATTTAATAAACTTTAAATGTGATGACTTTAAAACCTGCTTTTAATAAATATTTCCACATAGAAGCCTTATAATATGGACAGCCAATATATATTTTTAATTTGAAATAAAAACATACAATGTATTTAATGCCACATGGAAAAAATTATTAAGTGGTACTTTGAGACTTTGAATTCATAAGTTTTAAGCATGAAACAGCATTATTTATTTAATTATTTTACTGAATGCCTTTGTGAAATGAAGAATAATACTGTTCATCAAATTATCCAAAGAGTAAGATAATTCCAAAGTAATACTTGTTAGGCTCTGGCATGTCTGGTATTTATTTACAAATTGTTTTGTTTCTCCTTTAGGATAGTTGAAATTTAGTAAACACACTTACGCCTAACTGGTAAGGTTCTTTGCTTTCCCGGCGGTAGGTACAGAATATATAGATAAATATTTTTTCTAACTATGCTTATAAGGATTTATCTTAGAAGATGAATATTAAATATTGCAAGCCTATGACACTAATCCACTCCAATAATCTAATCAAAGTGAAGCACAGTAAATGAGATCTCAGAAACACTGGATACGTTGCTTCATTTAAAAAAAAAAAAAACTTTTTAATTAAACCATCCAATTTAATGTTTTTATATGGCACTTTAGTTTTGAAGGTAAAGTGATCTAGAGACAGCTGACAAAGAAATTATAACTGCAATTCCTTAGTGAAAATGTTAATGACAGCAAAATATTGTTTAATTAGCTGATCGCAGCATCTGGATTAACACTCTCTCAGAGCCCTGTTCCTGGGCTTGTCTGCCTCTTCACACTTTACAGACATTTTGTCATCTCTAGGTCATTAGGAAAGAATTTTTAATGATTTTTCTAGAAGGAAGCAGTTCAAGTTACATCTAATTAGATGACAATAATAAGCCCAACACATGCAGTAGCTAAATATATACATAATTAACCAGGGAGGGCTTGTTCATCACAGAGCAAAAAAGTGGAAAATGCTAAACAGGAGGAAAAAGGTTGGGGTTGAGGAAGTCGTGCTGAATTCATTAGCTGATCATATGAAAAACAACTCAGAATACGCTAAAAAATTCTCAAGTCAAACACAGGATCATTTACACAAAGCTATGTTAGCAATCACTCTATTATTTTTTTAAAATGTAAAAATGCCATATTTTAACATCTTTTTCACACTATTATCTAATAAGCCATAAAATGAGGCATAGCTTGTATCTTTCAGAACTCAATGAACAGAAAGCAGGTCCGCTGTGGGAATCGGAGGTTGGAACCTCTGATTAGTGTTTAATAGAACTTTCAGCATCATTAAAATTCTTTAACACAATTTTCTAAAACTCAATGTTCTTTGAAAATTAAAAACTCTCAAATGTTTCAAAAATAAGTAAGTTATACCACAGTTCCAGTTGGACTTGCAAGCAGTTTTAAAAATCAAATCTTCAAAAAATATTTAACAAAATGGAAAAACCAGAAGGTTAACTTGTATGTGAGGCAGGTTCCCAGAGATACACCCCATACGGATTAGGAAAAACAGACAAATCACCAGAATGTTGACTGAGATTTTTATGGTGAGGCTTATGAGTGCTTTAATTTTTTTAATTACACTTTTCCTTATTCCTAGTTTTCTATGATGGATATTTATTAAATGTATAAGTAAGAAGATATAAACACATTTATGGGCAAAATTTTAGGTAACTGTCTTTCAAGAACAATGTTTTCTGAGGATTTACATACTTTTTGTACTTTGGAAGTATCTTCATGAAACTTATATACATACAATAAAATATGTGTTTATTTATGTTATATGTCGTAAACATACACATATCACAAGAGGGTCTAAACTAAAAGGCCTTTGTAATGCATTAGTGCTAGGATACTGCAGCAGTTAACAATTAAGGCTGCCAACTGGAGATGAGTGTCTCGGAGCAGTTCAGTGTCTTAGCTGAGTGAGGACTCAGGAGCCAGACTACTCAGGTATGAGTCCTGACATTGTCACTCATTAGTTCAATGACTTGGGCACATTACTTAACTTCTCTGTACTCATTTTCTGATCTATGAAATGGGAATAAGAACAGAACCTAACTCGTGGGGCTATGAGGATTAAATAAGTAAATATGCATAACTCATTTGGAACAATGTTTGGCATATTGTACATCACTCAATAAA